TGGGTGGGGGGAGTGTACATCTCTCAGCCCCTTCACGCCTCCGGTTCCTGTCCTCTTTGGAGCTGGCAGGCCTCCCTTCTGGCGCCTGAGACTTTCTTTCTGTTCTTTCCTTAGCCATCTTCCAGCTTATCCAGAGCATCCGACTTGGAGGCTGATGGGGGTTGGGAACAGGTCGCCCCTCCACTGATGCCTCCCCCTCTTCCTTTCAAGAAACTGTGGACTATTTCTGGCCCTCCCAGGGCCCTGCCAGGAGGCACTGACAACCCTCTCTCTCTCTTTCTCTCTCTCTGCTGCCAAGAACTGACCTTTTCCTCTGCCCACGCCGCTGGAGCTGTGGTCCCTTCCTGTGGGCTCTGGACTGAAGAGGGGTGCGGAGGCCTCCTCTGTGGGCCAGCAGACTGGGGGTGGGGTGGGGATTTCAGCTGGGGGCTGCTTCCCAGGGACTGTTTTAAATGCTGAATTAGCACCTGCCATGGAGTATGCAGTTGTCCTGCAGGATTTGAGAAGCCTGTGAAATGGGCAGGCGGTCGCCCTCCGCTCCCTTCTGCAGCCTATCGCAACATTAAAAAAAAATGTCCCTTCTTGAAATGTTTGCAAGATACCTAGTCAGTATGAATTTCTCACAGCTGTGACGACTTTTCTCCTAAGCAAGAGAACTCTTCCCGCCTAAGCTGATGCTGATAAAATGAGAGGCAGGAGTCACTTCAGAGAGGCAAATGAAATCTGGTCCGCTTGAGACATCTCATGAGTCAGGGCTCGTTTTGTGCATCCGTGAGGTGGAGGCATCTACCTGAAGGCTCCAAACACCGGCCAGGGGAGGGTGTGGGCCGGGGCGGTGTGGTGCTTCTAGAGTGGGAAACTAGGACGGTGGGCCACTCACACCCCTCTCAGCCTAAACCGGCAAGAGATGAGCAGCGGTGGTCCACGTAGCTACCCTGGACTTCCTTGGTGGTCTCCCACAGATAAGCTCGGCACAGATACGCCCAGCGTCATCCCTCTGCTATTTGCAATGAAATCAAAGGATGAAATGGAGGAGAGGAAGAAAAACATTGTAGGTCGCTTGGGGTCCCCAGTGGGAGAAAAGGCAGGGTATGACACTGGAAACGAACCAAGTTTGGCCTACAAAATCCCACTCTTCTGCTTTCTCCAGTACTACTGCAGCCTTTTGGCAGGAGGCTAATGCTCCTTCAGTATTCAAAATACCGTCAAGTACGGCAAGCGCAGGGGCAGAGCCTTTAGTTTACAATACTAAAAGAATCCATCCGTTTGTGGCAGGCGTAACTCGTTGAAAATGAATCTACGAGTCTCCAAATTGACTACTGTCAAGCGCAGGGGCAGAGCCTTTAGTTTACAGCAATACTAACAGAATCCATCCGTTTGTGGCAGGCTTAACTCGTTGAAAATGAAGCTACGAGTCTCCAAATTGACTACTGCTGTCAGGGTGATAATGGAGTTGCAGTGCCAAATATTAAGAGAATCGGAACATCCTGGCCTCTTGGTTCTGTGAGAGCCAGTTCGGTGTAGTGGTTAAGAGCGGTGGACTCTAATCTGGGAGAACCGGGTTTGATTTCCCCGCTCCTCCACATGCAGCCAGCAGTTCTTGAAGGAGCTCTCTCAGCCCCACCTGTTTTGGGGGGAGGAAGGGAAGGAGACTCTAAGCCACCCTTGAGTGAAGGGCGGGGTATAAATCCTACTCTTCTTGGCTAAAGACTGATGAGAGTGGAGATATTGTCCACTAACTGACACAAGTAGGTCCTAAGGATTCCTCTTGTCTCCTCTGAGCAGTGGGGTTCCCCCAGTTCCA